TTTTTTGTTTTTTTTTTGTTTTTTTTTTTTTAAACTCTGGCCATTCCCGTTGCAAAAGCCTGCCCTCCGGCCATCTCAGTGGCTCAGCTTTCCAGGCTGGAAAGCCCCACGGTAATACTTACCCAGCTTAATTCTCGCGTTATGCAGCAGAGTTGGCTGGCCTGTCTTAAAAAGGAGCCGAGTTTGTGGGGAGGTGAGTGGCGTTGATTTACATCCTGGTACCCAAAAAGCATAAAACACCTGGCAGTTTAAGACGCGGAATGGTCCCTGGCCAAAAAATTTGGTTTGCCCCTTGAAGTTTCCTGTATTGAGTAGTTGAAATCTTGGCCCCCCCTGTGAGGCGCTTCAAGTGTGCGCTGCTTAGGCTGCACGTAAGTCTTTGCACCTGTGGCCTGCGACAGCAGATGCTTCCCAGCGTAAAAACATCCTCGGATTCCAGCCTGGGAGCCCAGAAACACCGGGTTGGGAGGGCTGAGGTCCTTTGCTGCTGGCAGAGAACCCGCAAACCCCCCAGTATTCAGCTAGGGTACCTCTCCTTGGTGTTTGTAGCTACAATCCTCGCTCCTCGAAAGGTCCTCTTGAGAGGTGAGGGAAGTCCTTGCAGAAACACCTTTTATGAAAGGGGAAGTGAAAAGAATCTGGCCAGTGACAAAGTGGGATTTGTGTTAGAAAATTTGCTTTACATTTTAATTTGGAAGTATTTTAATTGTACTTTCTGCTGTAATTAATTGAAAAACTTGGTGGGACTTTGCGAGTGCATATGTATAAGTATGGGCATTTTGCAGTATGTCATATAATGAAAATGGCCACAATTAACTATTTATTTGGGGTTTTTTACAGTGATGTCCAAACTTTTTTATGCAGCCGAATAGTAGCGTGGTTGTAAAACCACTCCTGTTTAACCTCACTTGGTTTTGCAGCACTGACAGTAACTGCATGTACACCTAGGAGGGAGATGCATGTCTGTTTTATCCTACCTTCAGGTCCTTTTGCTGTTTTGTAAAGCACTTAAGTGCCTCACCCTAGGTTACTTCTGTTCTTCTGTTGCGTAATTCTGAAGGTGTGCACAGAGTGTTTTGGGAGGGAGAGGAAGAATGCTGACTTCTTTTGGCCAAAGAAAGCATTAGGGACTGGAAAGGTGATCATCTCGTTCCTAACTTTCTCCACTTTAATGGGGAGGGCTCTAACTTCCAGATAAATTATTAGAGTTTGTATTCGGTTAATAGCAGGGCACTTGTATTATAAGTACAAAAATGAGATTTTGAACTGCGGAATGTTTTTTCCATGTACAGTCTTCACTGCATACCTTTATCTTAGAAGTTAAAAATTATTTCAGAGTAGAATCTCCTGTGGCTCTCGGGTTTTCTGGTTTTCTTCACATATTTGAGCTAAATATTTTGGTAAGTTACACACTTGGATATGTGGAGTGGTAGCCAATTTACTGTTCATGTCAAACTGTCTGGAAGTCTGGTGGATTCCCCTCTTCCCTTCCATAGCAGTGCTGTTTGCAGGAGGACTATTAAGTGCATTTAAGGGGTCTTCTCATTCTTTGGAAACTGCTTGAAACTCCGCATGGCCTAGCTTCAGGTGGGAATAAACTCCTTGAGTCTGATATCTCTGTCAGACTCACCTATATTCATCTAAAAGACATGGGTTTAGTCACCAAGGTAATGTTGTGAGTGATTACAGGATAGTGACTAAATGATACTGAAACCCATTATTAAATTTTTTCAACAAAAATTCTGATGATTGATTTGATTTTTTTTTTTCTTAAAGCTAATTATTCTAACGTAAATGATGCTAACTGCTCGTAAAACCAGGATGGGATGCTTTATTTCTGACTAGCTGCTAATACTGCATCAGAAACCTTAAGTCTTACCTGTTTTCATGCACTTGTTATTTTCTAACCTTTATTCTGTCTAGCTGTTGTATTTCATTTCAGTGTAGATGCTCTCTCTATAGAAAGCATATACTAGTGTATGATTGTGTTTGGAAAATGTTGTGACATCCCTTTTAGTCATGCCTGCTTTTTCATAATTGAAAAAAAAATACAAATATTTTGACTTGAATTGTTACGAAATGAGTCACTAAAGGGAACGTGTTTCGAAAACCTGCAATTGAGCAAAGAAACATTAGCAGTCCTTGAAAGTAAAGTGCAGAATCCCTGATTTATGAAGAGACCTTTTTGCCTCATGTTTCTGTTGCTTTGTTCAGATAGATTTTGACCCTTTTGAATTTTTGGTAAATCCAGTTTCTCTCTAAAGATAATTTTGCTGTCAATGATGAAAGCGGATGCAGAAATAACAGCTGCAGTTCTTCCAACAAGTCATAAAAGCAGCACTTCTCATCACCGTGATGAGTGCAAGTATGGAGTTGTTGTTGCAGTGGGGTCCTGACAGCTCCCAGGAGTTTTTACTGGAGTTGCACAACTCTGTTTTAGCACGAAGGTTTAAATTTAACATCTTTTGTGTGTGTGTGTGTGTGCGCGTGCTATTTATACAGCTCAGTACCTTTTCCTACAAGAGTCTCATGTCTGTATGCAGTAAACTTTGCATATCCTTGCTGTGCATTCAAACATTGTAATCAAATACTGTTTTAAGGGATGGTTTTAGAGTAACTTGCTTTTGAGTTGTTCTGGGATTGTAACTCTAGATTCAATAGAGGATAACTGGATAGTGAAAACGTTTTCAGGGACGAGGACTGAAACTGGCTTTGGCAGTTCATGAAATGGCATTTTAAAATGTGTGTGTATATATATTGGTTAAACATATCTCATAGACTTGTTTATTTTTGGTGGAGTGTGGGGGGGGGGGGATGTGTAGAGGGCAGAGGAAACTGACCAAGTTGTTTCAGCTTTGAGATGATTCAAGGTGTCAGACTTAAAACCAGCTGATCTTGAGACTGATAATTTGGAATTGCTCAAGAATTTGATTCCTGTGGGTTTTTTAGCTTGAGCTGTTCTTAAATACGTGATTGGAACTTGGGAATGTTACGAACCTTTTTGAGTTAGACAGTTGTCAGTCTTTTTCCAGTAAGCCAGGCTTTGAAAGAGTCTTACTGTTCAAAAGAAAAAAAAAAAAAAAAGCATTGCCAACAAGCATTAGATGGATCTTGAGAGCATTGCGTTACCCTGGATATTAGCTATTAGCACGACTAAAATGCTTCAGAATTTGTAGCTTCTTAGCACAAGTGAAGTTCCAAGGCTCCTCTAGACAGTCCCTTAGGGAAAACTGTTTGATTTGTACAGAGTGCTAGAGGGTTATGTGCCCTGTTGTCAGCCTACAAGCGTGAAAATTTAGGAGGAGCAGTTACTACACGTACTGTGTTGTTTTGCCTAGCTCTATAATGATTTATCAGACTGCAGTTGTTTAGTCCTTGCAGTATAATTTAGATTAAGTAATGTCAGCACTCCAGGGACACATCTAGATTTTTGCAGTAGCTTCAGAAGATGCCTTTTTTTGTAAGTTGGGGTATTTTTTTCTTGACAGTTTATCCTTGTAAACTAGATGTAGTGTAATGCTGTTTGCTTGCCTTTTGCTGCAGGGCCTGGTGCCAGGACCTGTCAATCCTGCCACCTCCTCTTCCTTCTTCTACCCTCCCTTCCCCCCAATTCATCCCTGTCCTGTCCCGTACCCCGCCGCCCCCCCCCATCCAGGTTTCTTTTCAGCCAGCTTGGGGCCTGACTGAGATGGTGCTGGTGACAGGAGGGAGGAAGGAGGGGAGAACAGACTGCAGCAGCCTGACTTAAGAAGCTGTAGGATCTCATCCTTAGGATATGGTTTCATGTTGTAACCATTCCTGAAAGCAGATGTCCTGTGCCCTTCCAGTTCCTCCCGCCTGTTTGCCCACTTCCTTCTTCTCTCCCCTGCATCACCTCTACCCAGTTGTGTGGGGCCCCAAGGAGTTGGTTGAGCCTGTTGAGTTGATAGAAATGTTTTTTTGGTTTTTTTTTTCCCTTTGGAGTACGTATGGCCAGAGCAATTGGAAACTATTGGTAGATGGGAATGCAGGGCAGAGGGTGGGTGGGAATGGTAGTCCTTGTGGCAGCGCGCCATTAGGTATGATTAGATGTTACATGAAACAGCTGGAGAATTCAGCCTATGCTTATTTCTGGCTGCTAACCAAAGTTGATAGACTGTAGAAGTTTATTCTATATTGAAGGAATGCTGGCTATACAGAGAATGCTCCTTGTAGCTAAAGAGAGGCATGAATATTGCAATACATAAGAGAAATAGAATTGTTTTCTAGGCATCAATTTTTTAATTGCATAGGCATTTTAGGCCATTAGGGTTCTCTTAACTTGTTTGACCTCTGTACAAAAATAATTTTAATTTTAGCAATATCTATAACAACAGTATTTAGGTTTGACTTAACATAAGTTGCATTTCAAGGAGAAATCCATTCGGGCCAAGGAGGCAGCCTTTTTGTGTGAGAAAGGGTGGGTGAGTGATGTGTGATGTGCGTGGCTACAAGTCACGGTGGAGTTCGAGGTGAAAGAGCCAACAGACACAGCGTGCGTTACGTTGCACTGAGCAAAGCGTGGTGGATGTGTGCTTTTTATTTGCTGGTTTTACAGTGAACTGGATCATCGTGTTTCATGTCACAACAAAAAGCTGAGATTATCAGGAGGATTTGAATCAATAAAACACATGTCACTATTTTGATAATCTTACTGTTTTGTTTTTTCTCTTCCCTATTTTGCTGAAAAGTATGGGAGGCACGATACCGCCTGCTCCAGCCAATGCCTCCACAGAGGAGACAAGTAAGGTGAGATATGAAGAATTTATCATTGAAAACTAACATTTGGAGACTCTGCAAAAATTGCTGAGAAGGGGAAAAGTTGCTGACGATTTTCACTCAAATAGGGTGGGTGAATATGCTAGGGTGAGTGTGTGTGACAGTTCAGTCTGAAGCCTGCCCGTTGCATGATGTGGATGACTTATTACAGATGGCTTCCTAGTTTGTTTCGAGTGTTACCATGCTCCATTTCCCTAATCCTGAATGTGTGATGTTCTGTGCAATGCAGATGCCAAAGTCTTTATTTCTTTTTTTATGTTCTTGCTGTCTGTTTACACACCTCTTCTGTAGTCATTAGTGGATGAAATTATTATCTCTGCATGAGAAGAAATATCAGTGAGGGTGATAGGTAATAAATTGAACGCCAGATTTTTAAGGCAGTATTGTGAAAGAGTTTTTCTGTGGGTTTTGTTCATTTGTTTTAAGGGAGATAATAAGTTTGGCTTGTAGATAGTTATAGCAGGATTTTCCCAAGCTTGAAATTCTTTTGGAAAAAGTAGGAGGGGAGTGGGGTGGGTGGGTTTGTGGTTTTTGGGGTGGGTTTGGTGTTGGGGTGTTTTGGTTTTTTTGGGTTTTTTTTTGTTTGTTTGTTTGTTTTGATTTAACAAGACAGTGGATGCTGGAATTATTGACTATTTAGAAATATGTGGAGGGATTGTGTATATGTAGTGAGTATAGTCTGTAACACTGAGTATCAAGACAAGCAGATTATGTCTGTGATAAAGCAGGATGTGTTAAAGTGTGGGATTCAGAGGAAGTTAGTAATATAGTTAAAAGTTGATAGGAAAACATTTGAAAAAACATTCTAAGTATGTATAAAGTGGCAAAGATCTCTGACCTTGGCAACTGGAAACAATATTTTGATCATTGACGCGAGCTGATTGTTCACTACTAAAAGACCTTAGCCTAACAGTATTAGATTGAGAGGATTTTTGATCCAGAGAATGTGTGAGGGAAGGCAGGAAGATTGAAAGGATTGGTTAGTTGCAAAACTGGTTCTGAATTGTGTATTATCTGGATTATTTGGTTTTGATTATTGAATTACACAATTTGAAGGACAGGCTTTACCAATAATAGAAGTTCATGAGTCAAAATTTGGGCTCTGGATTATTTGCATGCTTGATAGACTTAATCTGAGAGGAGGAAAAAGGAGATTTGTATCTTAAAAATAAAACGGTTTAGCCATAGAGCAATCTGATGCTTTGGAGATTAATTTTGGGTTTTCTGATGCATTGTTATTTATTAGAGTGGGAATAGAATATCAGTCAGAAATAATATATGGTTACAAATACATTTCTTTTTCAGGGCAAAGCAGAAGAACAGCCAGAGGAGCCAGTTAAATCACCTGAACCAGAAAGTGAAGAGAGTGACTTAGGTGTGGAAAACAGATGACTTTATCACATTTCACCAATTTGAACATGATTCTGGAAATCCTCTCTGTGTTTGTCGATTTGTTTAATCTTGCTTTTTGTTTTTCTCCCAGAAATTGACAATGAAGGAGTGATTGAACCAGACAATGATGACCCTCAAGAAATGGGAGATGAAAATGTGGAGGTAAGCACAATGTTTTTAGTATCTGTGGCATTAGGAAAGATAGGGAGAGGTTTTGAGTTTAGTCAAGGGTGGCAGCTGAGGGGGGATGAATACTATATTAGCTACGTAGCCAGCTGTTGCTTTGGTCCTTTTTCTCCTAAATAGAAAACTTACCTGCTTAAACCTTTCTTTTCTTGTTCAAGGTTAGAATCCATCAAAAAGTTCAGTGAGGAAAATCAGGTCAGAAAACACACGAAAAATTATCAAAACACCCCTGAAAACTAGATATGTAGAAGTCTGCCATTATTCAACTTATCTTTTGAGCATTTTCTAGATAAAAATAGCGGAGGCTGATGTCTCCAAGCAAAAAAAAAAAAAAAAAATTAACTGTGATTTCAATGCAAATTAAAAACAAGATTCTGGAATTGGGAAACTGGAGCTCCCTTCTTTGGTGCTTTCTTAGCATGGTAATTCTGGCCTGGACTAGACAGCTTTTGGGTTTTGTGTGTGTTTTTCACTTTCTTTATTTTCTCAGGTAACTGAAGAGATGATGGATCAAGCTAATGAGAAGAAGATTGAAGCGATAAATGCTCTAAGTGAAGGTGATAAATTGGTTTTTTTAGTACATATTCAAGGACATCAGGTTTGGTTCTCCTTTCTAAAAAAAGGAAGTAAATATCATAGATCATTTTGAATGCTTTCAGGGAAAAGAAAACTCACTTGCTGTTGGATACCCAAAAATATCTAGAACATGAAAGCTTCTTTAAGTACTGTCTTCCCAATGTAGCTGTAGTTTTGGGCTGGGCCGGGGAGAATGAGGTACTGCAGCATCTTAATTACAAATTTATCCTTGTAGTACTTCCCTATGCGTTACGATTAGTGTCTCTAGTGGTTTGTCTTAATGCAGTGAAAAGCTGTGTAATAAAGAGGTGACTTCCTATTTGATTGCATACAAAGTTAAATGTACAAATTTAACTGGAAAAAGTCTCTCCTCGCTTCTAGCATTAATTTTGGAGTTTGTATTTCAGTAACATAGCAAGAGGGAGAAATTGATTTTCCTTTGTTGATAATGTTCCATTCAAGACGTGCCTAGGGACATAGCACCCTGTAGGGCAGGTTTGGCAATTTGGATGTAATTTCATTGCGTAATGACTGGAACTTTACTGGTACTCATGTTTAGGTGAACTTCAGAAGGCTGTCAACTTGTTCACAGATGCTATCAAGCTGAATCCTTGTTTGGCCATCTTGTATGCCAAGAGAGCAAGGTGAGTCATCATAAACTAGTGATGTATGTTTCTGCCTGTTCTGCTATTTTCCTTAAGGAACCTAAATATAATGGCAACTTGAGGATCTATATAGATTTAAACTGCATGAGGAAGGAGAAAAGTACACTTTGTGCATTTTCTCTTACATGTGATTAACCAGATTTGCTGAAGCAACCATATAAAGAATCTTGATAGTAGAGTAAGTAACAGAACGATGTTCCAAAATGTGTTGTGGTAATACAGCTTTTGGTATGCTGAGTTAGAATAATGCTGGGTAATAAACACTTGTAAAATCTGAAGTTTATGCTGGGCTTAAGATGATGATTGAAACCATGTCCTGTTTAGGTGCAAAGTTAGTTGTGGATCATGTGAATTCTCTCCGCATTGCACCTGCTAAATGAGTTTGTTCACTGTGAAGTAGACTTGTTTCTGTTCAACAGTTCTGTGTTTGAACAGGACACGCCTATTTCTCAATCCATTCAGTACCCACCTTAGTGCTAATTAGATCTACCAGACTGCAAATAATGCATTGGGAACATTGTCAGATTTGACGTGTGGTCACCCTAACTTCATAGTGTACAAACATAGTTATCTTCCTAATTCTTGAGGAAGGCTGGGTAAGTATGGGTTGCAGAGGCAGAAGTTCCCACAGATTTTTAGGTTTTTTTTCTCCTTTTACACAAAAAAACTACTAGCCATGGGTGATACGATAGTTCAGTAGATCTTTTCCATAGCAAGGTATGATTCAAAGAAATGTTCAACTTTTCATGACTTTCATGTGATTAATTAGTGTCCTTTAACTGTTCTGTTCCAGTACAGTCTTAACTGGTACAAGCCTTGCTGTTTTTTCCTTTCCATATCAAAGTTTCTGCATATAACACTACTTGTGTACCTTAATACACAGTGGTTGTTGTTGCCATCATAGTAGTATTTTTAGAGCCTCTTACAGTGTCATATCTTCTCAGGACTGGGATTAGCAATGAAAAATAGAGTGTTAGAAGTTTAAGAGTTACCTCAATTTGGTCTGTTGTAGAAATAAGCAAACAATACATTAGGATCTTGTAAAACCTGCAGTGTAACAGCAGTGTTGACCAAGTGCTGTGAGTAATCCACTTCTCTGGTAGAGTTGGGTTTTGGTTCTGCAGGGAGTTGTGTGTTTGGGAGACAAGGGTTTTCGTGCAGCCAGCAGCATTGGAATGTCTCATTGGTGAGGTGTAGCTCTGAGACAGTTTCCTTTGCCTGCCTGTTTGTTCCTAGCAGAGGATGTATGACTTTGTGCTTGCTTTATAACAAGCCCTAACGATGAAGTTACTTACAGGCACTCTAATTGCTGATAAATTGTTTTCAAGTAGATGTAAAAGGGCAGAAGTTCTGACTTGGAGTATCTTGAATATCAAATACTTTTATCAGTTCAGGAATGGGTTTTGGCATTTCCTTCAGAGATTTTTAATTTTAAATGCCTGAACCTCCTGAAGTACTGCCCTACTAGTTAATCTGATATGCTTGTGTATTGTAAAATGTGCAGTTATTTCACTTAACTGACAAGGGATTGGGGCTGCTTTCTGGGTTTGTGTTTTGTTTTGCCTCTTAATTTTGATGACTCATCTCCTTTCTCCTTTTGTAGTTCCTGATGATTCTAGCCATTGATCCTTGTAGCCTGTATGATAACTCGTGCTTTCTTTGTCTTACTGTTGTTTTTAAAGACTGTGTAATGTGGCATGCATAATATTGTTGATTTGTTCAAAGTGCTAGTTGCCATTGGCTGTAGACTCCAAACACTGTGGAATTGAACTGTCCTTTGCATTTATGTATCCTTTCCTTGTGCCCTAGTTTTTCTGGCTGGCAAGGCTTGAGTCTGAACAACGAATGCTTTCATTTCTTGCTAATAATTCACCTACAATGGTGGGGTGGGTGGGGGAACTAAATTTCAGTGACTTCATTATCACTATGAAATCTTTTTGAACTCAGCTCTTCAAACATATTATCTCTCTAGCTTGCCTGTTAGTCATCCAAAATTATTTCCAGCTTAAGTTAGTAACTTAGTATTTCAATATGTACAATAAATGTTCTTTTTCCCGCAGTGTTTTTGTGAAACTACAGAAGCCAAATGCTGCCATTAGAGATTGTGACAGAGCCATCAAGATTAATCCTGACTCAGCACAGACCTACAAATGGAGGGGGAAAGCACATAGGTAATGAACTGCACTTGTGCTTGATATTATCTTTACTTAGGTGGGGGAAACAGTTTTGTTTATGCATTCTGTCTCTGAACTGTCTGTCTTGTACCTGAGAGCAGTAGCCAGGAGCCAAGAAACCATTGTGATGAGTGTATAGCTTACAGGAAAGATGGTGATGTATTGATGGCAATTTATGAGTAGTCCTTCTGGCATTGTCTTTTTTTCTTCTTCTTCTTTTTTTTTTTTTTTTTTTTTTTTTTTTAACATATCTTCTAATGGCTTATTGCTGTTCTGAATAGCATTTTCTAATTTGCTAATGATTATGAGTTGGAGGTCTTTTGTTTTCACTTAATTCAGTCTTTATTTACTAACCTGTAATTCTTAAACCTTTCTCTGCTGGCCTTATTCCATTAGATCCTAGAGCTCTTTTACATAGTAAATTAAACTGCCTAGTTATTAAGGGAACCATTTGTTGCAGTTGAAGAGTGGTATTAAGTAAACAGTGTAATAATTTAAAATGGCATTAGGCCGGTGTGCATCCCCCTTCGAGCTACAGTTAAACTTTTTTTTTTAAATGACAGTAAATCAGCCAAAAAGAAAAAAGGTGGGTCTGTATAAAAGTGGAAGGAGTAAATGCTAAAAGAACTTAACAAAAAAAAAAAAAAAGCATTTTAAACAGTGTTCAGAGAGTAGTTTGTTAATGTCTACAGTTTTAATAAACAGCATGGAGCCTAAGAGTGAGAACACTGGAGCATAGTTTGGATTAACTCTCTCTGTAAGCAGAAGCGCTTTGAGCATTTAGGAATACCACTGTTTGCTTAAATTTCTGATTATCAAGAGTTTGTATAAAGGAATAGTTAAAAAGTGCACACAGTAGCTTGTATGACCTCTTCAGCTAAGACACAGTGCATCCAGTTAGCTAGGATGTTTGAGTGCTGAGTAAAGAGAGTCCATTTAAGCTTGAGGTAGTAGTGGAGGAGACTTGTACAGAACACTGAATGTGTAGTTTTACACTGAACGTGTGCCTACTGGTGCAGACCATTATTATCAGTGTGCTTCACATGTTTAGGTAGGGTACTTTCTCCCTGTTGGACCCTTCTTGTTTATACCGAACAATGATAGTGGCTGATTGAGGGTTTTTTTCCTCATTGTTACTTCAAGCAAAAGTTATTGTAAGGGCATGAAGTAAGCAAATATCCTCTGATGGCATCATAGTGTGCAGGTTACAGAAAACACTATGATTATTAAACTTCTCTAAGTCTGTATAGCTGCAGGTAAAAATACTGAATGCCGCATGGTTGTAAATATTATGAAGAACTGCAAGAGTTTAGTTTGCTTTTTTCTTCTGAATGTTCGTGTCTTCTGAATTCCAGACTTCTGGGTCACTGGGAGGAGGCCGCTCATGATCTTGCGTTAGCTTGTAAACTGGATTACGATGAAGATGCTAGTGCCATGCTGAAGGAGGTGCAACCAAGAGTAAGTGGGGAGGCATAATGGAGGTCCCTCCTGTTTGTTTGGGTGATGTTGCTGCCTTCAAATTCTTCCAATATGCATTGTTTTGTGGGAATGTGTTCATGTGTCATCTGAGACTTCAAACTGAGTTTATAAATACTTCTGTATTCGATCACAGTTGTTTGTGGTTGTGTGTAGAGAATTCGAGTTACTGGGGCTGTGCATGTAACTGAACTATGAAATAGTATGTTCCTTTTCAAAATCGTAACAGAAAAATCTGAAGCAGTTGAAGTTTTCCAGATATTTTAGAATCTAGACTAAAAACATTCAGAAGAGCGAGAGAACAGTGACAATGGATTTTTTTCAAGATGTTTCTGAATTGATCAGAGTTTCATCCTAAACATGTTTTACAAAGGAAGCATATTGCTGTGATTTGTATTTTCATTAGTCTACCCCATGAGGGCAGTGTAATCTCTGTAAGACTGGTTTTCAGTTTTTCTCAAGTGATTGACCCCAGCATTCTCTTCTAAGGAAGAACTTCTGTGTAAAAAATGTAAGACTGTTGATATCAGGCTTGCTTTTTCATCTGTTTTGTGTGTTCCTTTAAAGTGCTTGACAGACCACAGATTGCAGCTCTTGCATTGTATTGGGTTTACATGGCAGGGTTGGGGGGAGGTGAAGATTGCAGGGCTGGCCTCTTGTACGAAGAGACATGTGGCTGCCCCTGTGTCAGATGGAGCTGGTTCCATTTGGCTCCAAAACAGACCCACTGCTGGCCAAAGCTGAGCCAGCCAGCGACACCGGTGGTGCTTCTGTGACAACATATTTAAGAAAGGGTTAAAAAACACAGTGCAACGGCTGTGAGAGAGAGGGGGCAGTAAAGAAAAAAAAATAGGAGAGAAGCAACCCTGCAGACACCAAGATGGGTGAAAACAAAGGGGAGGAGGCGTGCCAGGCACGGGAGCAGAGATTCCTCTGCAGCCTGTGGAGAAGACCATGGTGAGGCAGGCTATCCCCATGCAGTTCATGGAGGTCCGTGGTGGAGCGGATATCTGCCCTGCAGCCCATGGAGGACCCCATGCCAGAGTAAGGGGATGTACCCTGAAGGAAGCTGCAGCCCATGGAGGGTCCACACTGGAGGAGGCTCCTGACAGAAACTGTGGCCCATGGAAAGGAGCCCATGCAAAAGCTCGTTTTCTGGCAGGAGCTGCAGCCCATGGAGGGACCCATGCTGGAAAAGTCTGTTCCTTAAGGACCATACCCTGTGGGGAGGACCCACGCTGGAGCAGTGAAGGACTGTATCCTGGGGGGGGAACCCTACGATGGAACAGGAAAAAAGTGTGAGGAGGAAGGAGTGGCAGAGGTGCAGTGTTATGAACTGGCCACAGCCCCCACCCCTCTGCACCATTTGGGGTGGGGGGAGGAGGTGGAAGAGTGGAGAACAAAGGAGTGAAGTTGAGCTTTGGGAAGAAGGGGGATAGGGGGAAGGTGGGTTTAGTTTTGTCTTTGTTTCTCATCGTCCTACTCTATTTTTTTTAATGGGCAGTAAATCAAATTAACTTTCCCCACGTTGAGTCTGTTTTGTCTGTGATGGTAATGGACAAGTCATCTCCCTGTCTTTATCTCAGGCCAAGAGCTTTTCCATCTTACTTTCTCTCCCTGCCCTGTTGAGGAGGGGGAATGAGGGAGTGGCTTAAAAGCATCTGGCTGCCAGCCAAGCTTAACCCACCACATGCATAAACATTCATGTGTCTAATAACTTCAGCTTTCAGTTTTCCTATGTCTTTGTAGAAGACGCTGTCTGCAGCAAAAAACCAACGGAAACCATCTTACAACCTGTTAGTCTTCTGTGTTGGAGACTATTGATCTGTGGTAAATGTAATTAGGTCTTAGGTCTTAACCTTTTTTATAAGAAGTATACTTAATGCTTGGCTGAGGGGAAACCTTCTATTTCCCAGTTAATCCACCCATACACAGAAACAGCAGAGTATGTCTGTGCTATATTGATGTGTAGCAGGAAAAATGTATGATCTTTTCATGGGTGATTTTTTTTTTTTAATCTTTAATAAGTGAAGATGATATGTTCACCTAATTTATTCACTTCCAGCTTTCCTAGCACTTTTTTAATTTGTAGCACTTCCAGCTGAAAGTCTGAATGAAATTCTAAAAATGCTTAGTTCATTTTGAGAAATACTTAGAAACAATGAAAATCAAAACTTTTTAATAAAACAAAGAGTTTCCAAAGAAACAACAAAACACTTGCCTCTTTCTTAGTGAATTACTGAATGGCCATAACATCAGGTTCTGATAACACATACTGCATTCTGCTGCCTACAGTATGCTTTCTGTGGCAGATGTACTTCAAGAATGATGTGGTGTAGAATGAATATCTCCTAGCTAAAATAAGTTGTATCGAAACTTCACTGCTTATAAAATGATTTATTTTTTTAAAAATTGTTCTGAAAGAATAGAAGCGTGTCCACTGTAGTAGTAGTTAGTATCTCTGGTCTCGAACCTTGATCTTGGTATGGTTTTTTTAGTTACAGGAGTGTCACAGGGTGACCATCATACGCGATTTGTGAAATCCTGAACCATTTTTTGCAATGCTATATAAGGATACATTCTGGTTTCAGGAAAGCAGTCCTACTGTTAGTATTCTATTGTTATAACGGGCCCTGAGTGAGGAGCCTTGGGGAGTTCATTGCCAACTACTCTCTTCTGCTGGGGCTGTACATTTTATAGACTTGAGAAAAAGTAATAACAGGAAGCAAGCTTTTTCCCCACCAGCCCTTTCTTGGTTTGGTTCAGGAATTCTTTGGTCTGTTTATGTCTAGCAGTATATGCTGCAAAGGCATCTGGAACAGCAATAACACTATCAAAAAAGGGGGAATTACGCTTCCTGTTATTGTGCCAGTGAAAATTCCCTTTTTGAAGGCAGTTGCTGGTTTTAGCCCTGGAGAAATTAGTATTTCAGCATAAAAGCATGAAGGGATGCTGAATGATAACACGTTTAAGTTCCAACTATGGTGCAAGTCCCAGAGCTCTATAGCAAAAAAGTATACTAGAGTGCATGTTCTGGTGAATCCAGTTAGCGCCAAGTAGACATGAATAACTGATTGCCATAAAGAGGAAGTAGCAAACGGCTCCTAAACCAAAAGGGCTTTTGAGATGTGAAGTCAGATCTTATTTTTAAGAATTGGTAAAAGCAGATGGTTACGCTTACATGTATTTTGTATTTAAATATGTTGTGTGATATGCTAGAAATGTATATGAAACCTTGGTATTCTATGGTAACAGGCTCAGAAAATTGCAGAGCATCGCCGAAAATATGAGCGGAAGCGTGAAGAAAAGGAAATCAAGGAAAGAATGGAAAGAGTAAAGAAGGCACGGGAGGAACATGAGAGAGCACAGAGGGTGAATACTTAGGCTTTAATATTTCTTAATAATTTGGAGAGTGTCATAGTTATTTTGGTTAACATTAATTGCAGAGAAGAATTACTCTAAGTTTTAGAATTAAATTTGAGACAGTTGACTTTTCTCTTGATTACTTGACTAATAATGAAATCTGGAGAACAGGGCATTGTACCGCAACTGCTTTTGTTGCTAATGACAAAACTAGGCTCTGGAATCTCTACTAATCCTGTATTTCAAGAAGTCAATTGTTGTATGACTGTGCCAGAATAGTTTCACTTAAAGTACTTACATCTCATGAAGTGGGAGGTTTTAAATTTGGGGCAATACCATGCTTTTCTTCCTCACTTTCTGACACTGCTTGCTTTTTCTTCATGCTTTACTGATATATTTTAATATGTTGGGGGTGGGAATTAGTTCTAAAAATGTAAGTTGAGGAGCTAAAACAAATCATACAGTTCATACTCAGTAAAAGCATACTCTGCATAACTTATCTGCAAAGACATACTAAAGTAAGAATAGACATCGCTATTTCTTGTCAGTGGTTTTGTACAGTCAAGTGCTTTGTTTATTGTGATAGCCTACCTGCCTGAAACAGTCTCAGCTATTTTTTTTCTCCTAAAACCAGCTGAGCAGTAGAAAACAGGCTGCAGTTCCATTGCTTTGTGTGGAATGATGTGCTTTCATCTGCAGGAGGAAGAAGCAAGACGACAGGCAGGAGGAGCTCAGTTTGGTGGTTTCCCAGGTGGCTTCCCAGGTATTTCATTTTTAAGCATCAATACTTGAGTTAGAGGTGGCTGTTGTTGCCATGCCAAGTATTATAACCACAGTTTTTATAGCATTTGATCTCAGAGAGAAAAATATTTTATGAAGTTCAGAAGTTGTCTACAAATAACTCTTTGAGCACTAATGGGAAGAGGGATGGCTTTCTTAAAGAGGATTGATGCTGAGTAGCAAGTAGAGGGAAGTCAGAAATCAAAAATGATGGGTAACAATGAAAGTATTTAGGTCTGAGAAAAAGGTGCAGTATTTGCTCAATAATATGAGCTAAATACTAGTATAAAACTGTTTTTTAAATTAGGGTGCCTTGGACCCATTCTGCTTAAGAACAATAGTTTCAAAGTTGAAAATTTGGATTGAATACTGGTTGCAAGCTATTGTTGAACAGAATAGTTTCTCAAAGGAGGTAGTGCAGTTTACCTTATGGAAAAGCTGTCCTTGAACAGTTCCATGAAGATTGGGCTTTCCATGTTATTCTGGGGTACAATAAATTGAGGAGACACAAGAATAAGTAGTAATGCTCTTGAAGATTGAGTTGTAGTTGAGGTAGGCTGCATGCATGCTCCAACCAGATTAGCTTGTGAGGGGAACCAAATAGGGACCATGTCTACCCTACTAAGAACAGCTGGGGTTATTGCTGATTAGGGATTCAAAAACAGAACGTCAAGTATTTTCCTCCAGGGATTTTTTTTTTTTTTCCTTTGGTGGTACAATTTTTTCCAACCTAAAGTTTCTACCAAATGTGGAATGTGCCTGGGACATACTACTACTGATCTGCTTTTGCCCTGAATTGTTCACCCCGAGCATTCAAACTCCTTAAGTTCCTGGGCTTGCGACCTACCTGATTTAAGTTAACCAGGAAAATAATTGCATCTGTGTACAAAGTGCTAGAACCTGACACTGGTTTGCAAGCCTCCTATTCAATTGGGTTAAAAACATGCATGAAATAAGATGTAGGTCTTCACAGAAAGAGAATGTGAAGACCCTGCTTTCCATTCAGTGGACCAGCTGTAGCCTTATGGAAGACATGGCTTTAGAGGTGTGGCAAAAGAAGTATGTCTTGATCTATCTCAGTGGGCCTCCTGTATAGATGAATTAAATGTTTTTCATCATGCGTTCCTCCTGTCTTGGGTTTTCAGGTGGATTTCCTGGGGCTATGCCTGGAGGCATGCCAGGAATGGCGGGTATGCCAGGTCTCAATGAGATTCTCAGTGATCCAGAAGTCCTTGCGGCCATGCAGGTGAGTATTTGTTAAAATCAAAGCTAAATGTTCTGAAGGGGGGAAGAACAGCAGCTATGAGCTAAGGGAAGGAAGAAAGATATGACCTTCTGGATAGCAGTGGGATGCTTGCTTATTTCTGTTGTGAAAGTCTCTCCTTGTGTGTGTGGCACCAGACTGTCTGGAATCAACATTAGGTATTTTTCAAACTGATGGGAGCTTAATTAAAGATGCACACACACAACCATTCGCATCTGATAGGGAAAACTATGTGTTATATGGAGTTCTTAATCTCTTTTGAGTCTCCTGAATGATTATTTTTCACATGGAATAATTCAGTTGCTCCATTTTTGAATGCACATACATTGTGGTGAGATAATTATGCACAAAGAATGATTGTTAATATTGTTGCAACACAATATATTACAATAATATTGAGATGAGAGTTGCCTTTCTGTTAGGGGATTAAGTGTTTGGTTTTGCCAGAGGCAAAGTAGCATCAGAATAGTTCTGCATCTGGCATTTTCTAAATTCATGTTCAGAAAGCTTACTTCCCCAGTGGGCTCAATTAATTGCTCAATTAATTAATTGCTCAATGTCATTACTACTTTTACACAAGAAGAGTATTCCAGCATAATAAATAAGAACATATCTGACAACATCATGTTTAGGGGCAGGTGGGCTAGGAAAAATCTGAAGCGTATAGTTATATTTGTGTACTTATACGATCAAGTATGAAAGTGTTTTGTAACTTTTGCTGATTGCTGTGGTTAAACAAGAATTACGTGTTGGTCTCAGCTCATTGAACACCTATGATCCTCATCTAAACAAAAGCACCACAAGGGATCCTTATTTGGTATGCCCTGAAATCACAAAAAAGGAATCACTTTCCATGCGAAACTTCGTGGCTTCCCTTAATGGTTACTGGTGTCCAGAAACACACCTTTACTTAGGCTGCCAGAGTCGGCAGTGTTGACTTGCATGCAAACCATCCAAAAAAAGCCCATGACTTGTAGTTGTATTCATTACCTGGCTAATTTATGCTGTAATACAGAAGTTTGGAATTAGAGTTGCTGAAAATAGAGCTTTGAGGTACAGCTAAATATTAAGTGCTTGCCACACACCCTTAAGAAGACTCCATGGCATGCCAATTATATATACCTGAACATATTGTAGGACTCTGTTGCAAGAATGTGTGTTGACAGTGTTTTGTGATAATGCAGGCAGGCTTTAACACGTAGGACCTATCAGCAAAGCCTTGAGTCTCTCGCTGACCTCTTTGTACAAACTTTGTACAAACGAACAAAAATCTAGATGTGATTTATTCAGCATTTCACCTATGTCGGCACCACCTTCCTTTCCTAAAGTGTCCAGCTGACTATGTTCTGGTTCTCTCTGAATTGGCAGTGTAAACTCTAGTCTTCAAAGATGGTAGTTTCTGCTGCTTGGCTTCTGCTTAGTGCAGCCATGGAGTATCTTGACAGATAATGGTAGCTGGAAGCTATTAACGTACATTACCTGAGGTGTTACAGAAAAGTCTGAATATACTGAATCACACAAATACCCCATATTGTTAAGATACTATTTTAATTGACAGTATGTAGTGGCTTTTCATAGTGAGGTGTCACTACTGAAACTGGAATATTCTGAGAGTAAAGACCTTCTTCTCAATCTCTTCAGACTTAGTGACTCTTGTCTCATGAACTAACCTTGAAATATGCCTGAGTCTGTTAACATCTTGGTAAACCTTAAAACAGTGTGTGCCTGAACTTGAGCTAGCTTAAACTGGTTACGCTGTCAACTTCAGCTTGTCATCTGTAGAAGCAACCGAAGAACTAGATACGACTGCCTATGGACACGTTTAATAAGTTACTGCTCATCACTGGCGTGAAGATGAGAATCTCTGCAAACTAGTATAAAAACTGCTTTCTTGGTGAAGATTTCTGGTTCTGTTACCTAAAGATTTATTGTCTTTGGGATATTTTCTTCTTTTTTCTTTTTTTTTTTTTTTGTAAGATGAACCTATGGATTCCTTATTTGACATATAGTCATATGTTAGACCCAGACTTCCACCAAAATGTGTAAGTTGGAAAAAAGAATAGTGATAACTTTTCACTTGGAAGTATTTTTCATCCTTCTGCAACTAAAGACTACAGCATTAGAAAACTGAACATTACACTAATGCTGTTTACACAGTGGTTCCCGTTCCACCTTATGTACTAAATATTTCCCTATGGGAATGTTAGATATCTAAAGTCTTAAACACTATTCTGATAATATTGCTCATCAATGTGAAACCTTGGATGTGTTAAAGTCTGAGGTTGAGGGTTTCCACAAGTTGTGCAAGTACAGAATAATTTACTTGCTGTGAATGTATAGGACCATAAAGCATGTAGCATAAAATTGGATATTTAACATTCATTTAGGTGTGCTTTGACTCAAACCAGTGACTAAGCTTACTCAGCTTCTTGTTCCGGATTCATATACAAGTGAAAACACAGATCTAACAACATGACATGATCTTTATAGCCATGTGCCTTATTTTGAAATTGGAAATTCAAGAAGTTTGAGGTTGTGAAAGTAGTCTTTTTTTTCTTTGCATTGGAATCCTGGAAAGTGCAGAAAATATATCTAGTGCCTGTTTTCTGAACTTCAGCATCTCTTTGCATTGGAATCCTGGAAAGTGCAGAAAATAGTGCCTGTTTTCTGAACTTCAGCATCCTATTTTTCATAGACTTTGCAGATTCCCTTTTGTGAGGGAGACAAATCACCTGTAAATCCTTCTAACAAAAGACTTGACTCTTGGTTCCCAACATGCATAAAACATGACTGAATCATGTGGGTGATTTCAGTGGAGTCCACACCTACCAAATGCAATTTCACATCAGACTTGTTAAACAGCTTTTGTCTGTGTCTGATGCTAGAATAGATACAGGGTGGTGGTACTGTAGCACAGACAGCTCTGAAGGACACCAGTTGTTTTTTGATGGTTTCCAAAGAATACATCTGCAGCAGCAATGGGCTACAAGTCTAGAGAAGGTTGGATCTTTCAGTGAAACTACTTAAATGTGCTAGAAAGAACAGCAAATGAAATTGCAGCTGATGCAGAAGGTGCTTATAATGGAAAACTTTTTCCAGGCTGAGGTGTAAAATCGGTCTATATGGATTTATTGAGGGGCACCGTTCAAAACATGCACATGTAAAATGAGTAAAAACAATTCTAGTTTAATGGAGGTGAAAGGTGCACTAGAAGTACAGACAAAAGTATTAATGCTTTTCATACTAAATGGAGAAGATGAAGTTGGTGTCCTTTTGACCATTGACTTTAATGTATATGGTGAATGTGTTTATTAACTGCAGCACAGTAATGTGATGAGAGATAACAAGGTTCTCTTCCAATTGTGATTTCTCAGAGGAGGTGGGGAATGACTGAGAATTAGATCCATTTTTAAAAGCCAAACATTGCTGCATCATCTGCTCACAGTCAGTACAGCAGATGATAGTTTCTGCTGCTAGAAGGAACAGAGGTGAAAGGGATGAGTAGCAGCTATTCCTCTCAGGACGGTTATCCTATCATGCGTGCTACACACATAGAGCTCCCGTCTCCTTCAAAATGCATTCGAAGATGCCTGAACAGAAATAATCCAGTAGGTGTGGCTGTGTTTGGCTCCGGTTTTGGGGAAAAAGAACTCTTATCCCCCTTCTCACACATTGTGCTATTACAGGTTCAGTAATGACTGGTGTTTACTAATGCAGCATTAACATCGTGCACTGTATCATTGGGTTCTCTTCAGAGACCTCTTGCCCAAAACTCTAATCTAGTTTTGTCAGGCAAAAAGCTGAGCAGGACCAGATTTGTGTTGTAACCACGTAACCACTAACTTCTGTAGACTTGTTTTAGAAATGCCTTAATTTTTTTTGCTTTTTGTCCTGCAGGATCCAGAAGTTATGGCTGCATTCCAAGATGTTGCCCAGAACCCAGCAAATATGTCCAAGTACCAGAACAATCCCAAGGTCATGAGTCTCATCAGTAAATTGTCTGCCAAATTTGGCAGTAAACCATAATATCCCTGGTTCTTAAAAATCATATCTGAATGGGAAGGGTTGGATTTGGCTAACCAGTGTTGCAATAAAACAAACCATTGTACCTCTGATCTTAAGAGGAGAAACGGGGTGTTCTAAGGAGAACTGCTCTCTAGCCCCAAGTGTTGACTTAATTCAATGATTGGTTTATAGCACTCAAATTATAATCAGATAATGTAGTTTAAACCATCCCTCCTTGTCCAAGAGTTGCAGCCTTTTGTTATAAGCATTACAGACAATTTCCTTTAAATGAACACTCCTGTAAGAAATTGTAATATTCCAGGAGTTTAAGATAAAAACCTGCCGTTGTGTTACTTTGGATTTTTTTTTTTTAATTACCCTCAGTGAGCAAAGAAGAAGGAACTTTAATAGTTGAAGTCTGTCTTAATCCCCTTAGGACAGAAAAGTTGGATTAGTCACAAATAGAAAAGTCGGACAAGTCTGAAGAATTAACTGGATAAAGGAATTGTCTGCAAATACAAGTCCTTACAGTTTTGGGTTTTGTTTTGGTTTTTTTTTTTTTCAATGGGTGACTGACTTTCTGTAGCTATTAAAATTATCAGTATAACCATGCTGGCTAGTTACACACTGGAACTTCTGGCAGTACTGCAAATAATGTAATATTTTGATCACCACAACTGTGCTGCAAAGGTACAGTCCAATCCTTTGCACAATCTGGCATTAAGTACATATTGCAGAGGCCACAGAGGTTTTTGTTACTTGCTCAATTCTTGCCCAGCACCTTTACATAACATTTTATTTATCAGTCTGGGTACGGGAGAGCAGCTTATTGCCTGTGCTTTGTGCTCTTGTCTTTTCCCACTTGGCAAGTCCACCGCTGGTTGCACTCGCCCACCCTTGGGGCCATGCTTACCAGGTTTCATCTATTTGGAAACTTTAGGGAAGGAATCTTGTTCCCATCACTACCTCTGTCCCACTGAATGCAAGCCATCCAGAACACATAAATGCAGAGTTACAAATCAGTGAAGGGGAGAATACTGAACAAAATTGCAGCTCTGGGTTCTGAGTCAGTTAAGTCCTTACACGCTTAGTGGTTAGAATTTCTTGGCCAAAGTCCTGCTGTCTCTTTAGAAGTGATGACTCTTCCTTCACCGCATACTGTAGTCTTCCATCTTTTCTTGTATTCTTTTCTTAAAAAAAAAAAAAAAATCAAAAAACCCCCCACCAAAACAAAAAGCTGTTGTCATGGTTTCATACTTCCATGTTTTTGAGGCTTGTGATATGGAGGAAAAGGTGAAGTAATTGGAGCAGACAGAACATTCTTCTAACACTTGTGGATTAACAGCATGGGTCTCCTTGAAGCAGTGTCTGTGCTGTTGATGTTCAACTGATTTGTCTACCAATAAAGATGGTTGTTGCTTCTGTTTGTCTTGGCTAAAACATTATCTTTCTGTGGAAAAATTGACCCTAGGTACCTGTTCACCACTTGAGTCTCAACATTTGTGTTACTCTTTTGTAATTCTGTATCTTAAGCCATAACTGATGTTACCATTTTTAAATAAATCTGGATTGGTGTAGGAACTCAGCAACAGTTGCAAAAAATAAATCCCCAAATGCTTTTTCTCATACTAATGACCCTGCAGAATGAAATGTGAATCTTTTTGCTTAAGAAATATAGTTCTGAATACTTAGCCTTTAAAAATAAAGTATGGTTTTGAAAAATAAAGCTTTTTGGGTTTGTGTAACTTTCTGATAAAACCTATTTTGTTTAAATTAATTGGGTTTGTGTAACTTTCTGATAAAACCTATTTTTAAATTAAGTGTGGAAGTGCTTCAATTAAACTGTATATATAACTTGTGATTTAAATTGGAACTAAATGCTGAAGGGCTTGTCTTCATGACCAAATGAACTCAAGTTGTGATTGGGCGTGCCTGGCTTTTGGTTGTACTCTTGATGGCCTGGTCCCAAGAGGAGATACTTGAAGTAGGTCACCCCTCAGTACAGGCTGAAACTCGAGTTGTTCATTCAGGCTGGTGCATAGGTGCTGTGCATGAATTGGAACATCTTGAATTTATTCCTGACAGTTTCCTGTTACTCCGTCTTAGCTGTTTGTGTCTGTCTACCCATGACTAGTCAAAAGTAGGAAGCTGCTGCTAGCTAGTAGAAATGGTCATCGCTGTGTCCTGCCTGCTTGCTTGCACATCAGTTGCCCTTGTTCAGAGCTGATTGACTCAAGAAAAACATTCTCCCTGATTTTGGTGTTAGCGTTAGCAGTCTCGCTGAATTCTTGTGATCCTTTGGGAACGCACATCCCGTGACTCCTTTGCTGCGTGGATTTTTTGTTGTTGTTTTTAATGTTACCTGGTAAATTAATTGAGGAGATGCGTGGACCTCATCTCAGTTCCCCAAGTTGGCATGTGGGACGTTTGAGCAGCTAAACTGGTTTGAACAGAAGGACAAGTGCAGTAAGTTAACTGCCCAGGAGATGAGCAAAGATGCTAAGTTCCAAATGTGGGATACAAGTACCTATGTGAGGAAGTTACTTTGTTCAGTGTTTGCTCCAGTATTTACTGGCAGCTCCTTCAGGTTATTTGCTTCCATTGCAGCACAGCAGGCATGGTTCTTTCTAAGTACGGTGGCAGTAGTCAACCTAGCTGACAATTTGACTAAAAACACTTGAGGTGCCAGCGCGTAGGAACGGTTCGGGTAGCCTGGCGTGGCGTGCAAGGTGCTGACCCAGGTTCAGTCTGTGTTTCTGCCATTTGAAGCGAGTCGCGTATGGTGCTGTTTGGCCGGTGCAGTGCCACAGGTTAGATGGCCTGGTCTGCCGGAGAGTGTGATGATACACCTGTAGTTGACTGGTGGTAAAGGGTTGTAGCCCTAATACGCTGTGTGTGTGAGTCTGACTTGCCTGGCCTCTGGCTCAACTGCTGCCCCAGGGGAAAATGGGCAATGTCAGGCACCAAATCCAGACCGTACTACTTCACAGTGAGCCCTGTTGCGCAGTCGTGTGGAGAATGCGAGGCTTGGTGCCCGCCTTGTAGTTTACCAGAATTTTTTTTTTAATTTCTCTCGCTTTAGTGTTGGGCTGTGAATAAAAGCCGTTTGTCAAAGCGGCTTGGTTTTTGTCTTTGTTGGAAGGCGATGATCAGATGGGCAGGAGCCAGACGGTCTCAAAAGTTGGATGAAGGCAGGTGGGACAAGACTGGGCAGGGCAGGGATAGGCCAGAGGCAGAACAGGTCAATAAACGAGTATTAAAAAGCCATGTAAGGGTAAAACCATGTCGTAGAAACAGCTTGTTTTAAGTGGCCAGCAGTAGTTTCTGTAGTTTAAATCTGTCTTCATTTTTCTTGTTTGTTACCTTCAGGGCCTTTGCATAAAGCTTGTACAAGCCATGCTCTCGTATGTGCCTACATCTCTCTTCTGTGAGATGTAAGAGCAAACAATAGTGTTATGGGAGCTTGTAGCAACTGCTGTCTGACCAGAATTATTCACCCAAAGTGACGGGAAGTTGTAGACATAGCCAGGGTGAGTTGGAGCCAAGTCCGCTTTGGCACGTACCTTCCTGTGCATGGGGGCATACTCCTGACTGGAAGTGTTTCGAGCCCCTTTGAAATCCCACAGGGCATCTAGGCTGAGGGATACTGGCAGTGCTTTCAGGGTTGTAGGGTAAGCGAGTTGTTGGAATAGTGGCAGGGAGTTGTTTCCTTTCATTGGCTGCAGGGTAGTCCGATAGTGGCTGGTATCGGTACAGAAGTGGACTGGCATCCTCAAGCAGGAGGATGGTTCACTAGGAAAATGGTAGCAGTATTTTCTGATGTTTGGAGAAAGATGTCTCACGAACCTTAATCAGAGCTTTGCAGAGTTGGGCCTCAACTTTCCTTCATACATGATGGAGTGAGGGTAGCAGTGTTGTAAAAGAGCAATTCTGGGTTACCAAAGATCTGAAATGGAGTAAAAATGGCAACTTCCAACTGGATGCAGAGACCAGTACATTGACTACTACAGGACAACTCATAGGAGTAGTATGATATAAGCAAATGCAACTACAGGGGAAGCAGGAACAGTTTTAATGTGGTAAAGAAGTGAAGCAGGTTGGGTGGTGGCTGGTGGATCCGTGCTACAGAGCAACAAAAAGATTCAGGTGGCTTTAGGCTACAAATAGTTCATCACCTTGTGAATCAGAGCTTAGGTAAGTCCCATTCTCCTGGTGCGGTCCTCACAAACAGGAACTTCACGTGAGACAAACCTTCCTTCACCCCCACTGACTGGAGGTCCCATTGAATGTAAATACCAAGGACTTTCCTGTAAATCTGAATCTTGATGACTAGCCAAATCAAGATGTGAACTTGTAATCCTGCTAACAAAGTGTTATTACTGTACCTGTCTTTGATGTACAAATACGCTTTTGAAATGTGTATTCTAGATGGATGGTCTCAGACAAGCTTGAGATCTTGTCAATAAATAAAGGTATTTGCAGAATGTGTTACGACTCTTTTTGTAAAGTAAGCAGGTAACAGGCTTTGGCACCTTTGTTGTTGCGCACCTTTACTAAAACCAGGATTTGTTTTAATGTACAGTGGCAATAAGGAATAGAAATTGCTACTAGATGTAAATAAATTAAATGTGAAAGACTACAGGATTGGGGATAGCAGTTTATCTTGGAATTTCTTCCCGAAGTACAGTGACTGAAGCAGTCAGAGGGTAAGCATAACTTGTATAGAACAAAGGTATTCCGAAAGAAAAAGGTACTTACTTGTGAACTATAAAGTAAATAGCAAGGAGGTGAGGTCTAAATCAGTTTCTAGTGAAGGGAATTCCATTATTGAAACTTTTAGTTATTCCAAATCTAACGTTCGCACTTTGGAGGGTAAGAGTTTCTAGAACGAGTTAGTTTGCATCTTGCATTTCAGAAAAAAAAGGGTCATAGCACAAAGATCAGAGCAGTCACCCACCAGCCAGTGCAGCGTGCAATAAAGCTACCTTTTAAAATAGGCTGAAGTTACAAGTTACTAGAAAGTCATCAGAATTAGATGGAAAGATAATTAAGGTAGTCTACTGAGAGCGACGTGGCTGAGCTGCTGCCAACTGCACTGCCTCTCATCAGAGAAAATCCACGCGGAAGCTCAGCCACTAGTGTCTTAACTCTCATCTGGAAAAGAAAAACACCAAGCCCCACCTGTGCTTTCTTATTTCAGGTTTTAAAAAATGGAAGTAAAAAAAAGGCTTATTGCTAACAGTTTATACGGAAAAATGAACACAACTGTTCTAAAAGAAGATTTGCTCTAGCTTTTTCGTGTGTTACCCCGCAATAAGGAAAAGTGCTTGAGAAAAGCAGATCTTCAGAAGCCATTTTGTAATCTGTGATATTTTTTCTTTAGTCTCTTGGGTGAAAACTTTCCAAAGCAGCAAAAATAAAAATCAAAACTGGAATGAATTACTAGCGGTTTTGGAAAAACACAGAAAACCATAAAAATGTGCAATTAGAGCAGATGTTAGGTATTTATCAAGGGCCTGGGGAAAAAAAACCAAAAACATCAAGGCACCAAAATTTGTGTTTGGTTACTGAGTCTACGTAAAACTAAAGGTGGCCAAGGAGCATTTGGTCTGAACTAGTGAGGCTGTTGAACAAGCAGCATGAGAGGAGATTGGATTTAATAATGGTAAATGCAATTAATTTTAACTGAAAAGCATTTCCGCTTCCATAATGCTGTTCAGACAAAACGCATGCACACATGTACTTAAAAAATGGGCTTTTTCATACGTGTGTGATTACAATGCTTGCTTCTGGAATAGGCAGGTCTTTCCATGGTCTTAAACTTAAGCCCAATCTTGCTAAACCTGTGTGATCAAACGTTGTGCTATTTAACGAATTCAAACTGCGCATGCAGCCTCATTTGCTAATCTCTAGTTGCTTTAATCCACGATGCGCTGGGAGCATGATCTAGTTTATCAACCTTTTCTGAAAGGTAAGTTTTGCAACACAAAGTCCTTTTGAAAGTAGCAATTAAAGGTCTTAAGATGTTTTCACTCTACGACTCAAATTTCTAAGCAAAAAAGGAGACGTGCATTTCTAAATTTTTTTTTTGTAAATTGTTAGAACAACGAGAGTAGTAGGGTAAAATTGGTTTAAGTTCAGAGTTTATCCTTTATTTGCTAAGGTAAGACACAGCACAGGGGCAGTAAATTTGACCTCTTGAGTCATTC